CACCACATCCACGAAAGTGTTCGCAGCGTGATCAAGAGCAGGATCCGGCTGGCGGCCAGATGAGCCGCGCCCTCCGCCATTCCGCCGGCCCCGCCGCCCAGCGGAACCACCCGAATTCGGACGCGGAGGGGACGGCTCGCGGCGACCCGATTCCCAGCGACGCCCAGGCGACCCCCTCCCCCGCGTCGCCGGAGCTCGCCGCGGTGATTGTTGAGCGGGGGATCGCGCTCGGGGTGAGCGCTGGCCTGCTCGACCACGGGGGGACGGGCGCCGAGGAGAGCGAGGACGCTCAGGGGAGCGCTGATCCCCCTTCCTGCGCTGATAATGCTCGCGACGCGCGGGAGAAGGGCGACGAGGAGACGGCTGCCGTGGGGGCTGACGCTGAGGCGAGTGCCCGCGCACCTGCGGCGGCTGACCGTCTGGACGGTTCGACGCAACACGCGCCGGAGCCCACGAATACTCAGGGGAGGAGGGGCGCGCGGCTGGCTGATGGGGAAGAGTCTGCACCCGCTCGAAGCGGCGGACGGGCTCGCTTGCGGAGGGATGCGCAAGAAGACGCGGTCGAGGCTCGGCAGGTGCACGCTCCCGCGGCGCGCTCTCCGCGGAATGCTCAAGCTCCGGATCCCGTCTTGCGTACGGGTCCATCACTCCCGACCGTAGCGCAGCAGATGCCAGCGCGCCGACGAGGCGAGGACGAGACGACCGCGGCGCCGCAAGCGGGGCGCGAGGGAGTCGCGGTAGCAAGAGCAACGTGCGGAATCCGCGTCGGACGCGGCAGTCGCCGCGGACGAAGGGGTAGCGAGCGTGGATGGAGAGGCGGCGGTGCGCGGGGCACGAACAGACGCCGCACAGGAGCCAGCGGCTTCGCGAGAAACGCGGAGAGGCTGATACGACAGAGCGCAAGAGGCGGCGAGGAAGAACTTCGCGAGGAGACAGAGGAGGCTGCGGAGAATGAGGGAAGTGACGAGGGTGACCCCTTATTTAACCCTGAAAGAGAGGGGTTGTTAGGGGCAGAAGTCGAGGAGGATGAAGAGGAGTTGGATCGCCTACTCCAGGGAGAGGAGGTCCCCAGCCCACGTGCCCGAGGCGATCCTGCCAACCGAACCACATCCGAAGGTGTGGGGCAAAATCCAAACCCGGGCCGAGCCGCATCTGCAACTCCAACCCCCAGAAATCGGACCGCGAGACCAAACCGAACCGCCCCCAACATTGCGGTTACCACCGCCCCAGCCAGTAACACGGGCCCAACGCCTGCCACCCCCGCCCCAATCATCAGCGCTGACATCCTGGCAGGTCGTCAAGACCTTTTTGCTGACATCGCCAACTGGGACCTCGGCCCGCTGCGCGACAGCAGACAGCCACCCCTTGCCCGCCACCCACCTCGCCCACTTCGCGAATCCTTCGCCATCTGCCTGCTGACCCCACTTCTGCACCTCGCCAAAACCCCTGATTCCACATCTGGCTGGAAGCTGCTGATGTTTCTCCCGCGAATTCTCCTGCGCTCGTCATCTGCACGAAAACCAGACTGGAAGGCAATGGGCGACAGACTGACGAGATTTCGCCAAGGGCAGTGGCGCGGCCTTTACGACGAGGCGGCAGAAGCAGTGAACAACAACCCCCAACCACGCCACGTACCTGACACCACGGGAAAGCTGGCGAGAGCCGAGGGATTGGCGAAAAGGGGAAACCTAGCGAAGTCCCTCCAGTCGCTAACTGCCACGCCCGTCTGCTCGCCAACCCCTGACGTTTTGACTGCGCTCACGGCCAGGCACCCAAGGGCCACCGCAGCTATCCCAGACTGGGTGCAAGACTTTGCCCCTGAGACTCTGCCCTCAATCACAGCTCGCGATTTCAGGAAGCTGCTTGCCCGTTGCCCCAACGGCGTAGGGGCTGGGCCATCAGGGACTACCTTCGAGCACCTGAGGGATGCGGCCCTTGGGAACGCCGACGTCCTCTTGCAACTGCACGCGCTTACCAACACGGCGCTAGCGGGTAAACTGAACGCCGAGGCTGCAGATCTACTCACCGCTTCGCGTCTGCTCGCCTTCACGAAACCCCAAGGCGGAACAAGGCCAATAGCCGTGGGTGAATGTCTGCTGCGTATTGTCACAAAGGCGGCGCTCTTCCTGGCCGCTCCTGCAGCGCGCGACCACTTCACCCCGCTACAATTCGGTGTGGCGATCGCGGGGGGCATCGAGGCAGCGATACACGCGGCCCGCACCTACCTGGAGGAGTTCCCTGGAGCAACGGCCCTCCAGATTGACCTGGCAAACGCTTTCAATGCCGTGGAGCGCGCGGCGGTGTTTGAAGGACTGAAAGGCACGAAGCTTGACACCCTGGTCCCCCTCGTCCGCCTCTCATACAGCCGCCCATCAGCCCTCTACCTCGACCACGATTTCGAGGCGGCGCCTCTACAGAGCGCGCGAGGCGTGCGCCAGGGTGACCCACTAGGTCCTATGCTGTTCGCGGCCAGCATCCATCCCTGTCTCGCTGCAACGGCGACGGCCCACCCAGAGGTGGTGCTCCTCGCGTACGCAGATGACATCACCCTGCTAGGCGAGACTGCGAGCTGCACGGCGGCCTTCAATCACCTCACGGAAGCCCTTCTCAGCCACGGCCTGTCCCACAACCCCGCGAAATGCGAAGCATGGTCCGCCACAGCCCTGGAGCCCGCCGCTCTGCCCCACGGCGTCACTATCTCCCGGGACGGGATCCGCGTCTTGGGCAGCCCGATTGGGCCCCCCGCCGGCTGTGCTGCCCGAGTGCGGGAACGCCTTACTACTGCTGCTGAACCGCTCCCGCTCCTCTCCCAGATGGACCCGCAACTCTGCCTGCTCCTACTTACCCGCTGCGTGAGCCGCCGCGCTTCGTTCATGGTCAGAGCCACGCCGCTTGAAGCCCTACCGCTGAGGGAATGGTCCGCCTGGGGGGAAGAACTGTTCCATACCTACCTTGCCGCAGCACACACAGAAATCCCCAGAGCCCGGGTCGAGAGGGAGAGGATTTGGCACCAGGCCGCCCTGCCCGCGTCTGGGCATCACCAATCCTGCAGTGGAGGGGGGATATGCTTACCTGGCTGCAGTCACTACTGCTGCACACCTGCTGCGCTCCTTCGGCGACGCGGCAAACCCTGCTCTCACTGGACTCCTGCCGCTAATGGACTCCAACGAGGAATCTACGTCCCTCCTCCCTAGGCGCCTTGCCGCTCTGGAAGCCGAGCTGCCTCCTGAGGGGATCGAGGCTCTCCAAGTGGGGAGACAGAGACCGGACGGGCAAAAGCTCCAACAGACGCTCTCCCTCGCGGTTCAAACTGCAAGGTTCATGCAACTGCTCGAGAGCTCGCGGGAGATGGAGCTCAACCCACTGTTCGGACACACGCAGCGGCTGCAGTCCCTCTTGGGCCCCGGCGCAGGGGACTGGCTGCTCGCCGTCCCGCTGATCTCCTCCCTCCGCCTCGGGCCCTCTCAGTTCTCCACAGCGGCCTCCTTCCGCTTAGGCCTGCCCCTACCTGTGCCAAGGCGCTGTGACTGCAGATACCGCACCACATTCCCCGACGACCGCCTACCGAACCATTTTATGCGGTGCGAGAAAGGGGGGGGGAGAATTGCAACTCACAATGCCCTTCGGGACGAGTGCGCAAAGATAGCTGCGGAAGCGGGCTTCACCGTGCATAAGGAGACAACGGCTTACTCACCGGTCGAAAACCTCAAAGCGGATATCTCTATCCGCCATCCCGACACCGGTGAGGTGTGGATCTGTGACATCACGGTCACGGACCCCATCTCCCTCCAGGATGAATACGCCCGTAAAGCTCCCGGTTGGGCTGCTAGAATGCAGGCGGACAAGAAGGCAAGCAAATACGCCAGGCGGAGCGCTTGGGTGGGCTTTTACGCCTTGGCGGTTGAGACCTACGGTTACCCCTCGAGGGGAGTCCTGGAATTCCTTCGCAGCTGCGCGGAGTTAGCGGCCATGCGGCGGTTCAACGCCACTCCCAAGTCGAGGGAATGCGCCAGGCTACTCACCGAGTACCGGCAGCGGTGGAGTGTGACCCTGCAGAGAGCGCAAGCCACTGCCCTCAGGGATAAGACCCATGAGGCCCTCACAGCGGATGTGCTCGGCCTGCAGGGCCCGTTTACTCCAATGAGCGAGGGGCAGCTGTATCAGTTGATAGAAGACCCCTCCGGCCATTAGGGCCGGGCGGGGAGGGGGGGGCTGGGGCTGGGGTAGTGCGGGGTTAGCTGTTGTTTTGCTGTAGCCTTGCTGCGCGATTGCTGTAGCCTTACCATGTGTGTACCTTGCTGACATTAATACCAAGGACCGTTCGAGAGAGAGAGAGAGAGAGAGAGAGAGAGAGAGAGAGGTTAGCCTCTGTCCCTTGCCTCTGTCCCTGGCCTCTAGGCTATATAAGGGTCCCATAGGGACCTCTTTCCCTCATTAGTTCATTCAGTTCCCAGATTTTCGTATGCGCTCGCGTTGCGCAGCCTTCGGCTGCGTGCTTTGGGATGGCAAGGATTCCCTGCAAAGTATAGAATAGAGACACTACACTAGACAGCTATGGGCCACGCGCCCAGCCACTAGATCACAAGATGCAGAGGGTCTACGCGCGGAGGGCGCCGGAAACTACATCAGATGGGCATCAATCGCCGCGAGGATTCCACGCATGGTCCTCCACAGTTGCTAGACCACTAACGCGGTCGCGCCTACAGCTTCAATCCCGCCACCACCCTGGAGGTGTGCGGTCAGACCCCGGACCGTTTCGTCCAGTTCTGAAACCGCAACGCCTCCCATCGCGGGCGCTCCCAGCAAGGGTAGGAGGAGGAAGGCAAGTTGCGCAGCCGCCGCCAAGCAATCTCCTCGCGCCTCACGACCGAGAGTGCTCCCTGGGCTCTGGAGAATGGCGAAGTGCGCATTCACCAGAATCAGTGTCAGGGCCTGCTGGCACTCCACCAAGCGCCACAGCTGCGCTAGGGTCGCCGTGGGAACTTGAGCCACCCCAGTCCTCAACGCGGCAGGCAGTATGGGAAGAGGGGGCGGAGGCTGCACGGACGGAGCATCCGCATCGCGACGCGGGGGAACGAAGGCCCCCCTCGCCCCTCCGCCTCCCGCTCCCACAAATCCCATGTCCGGAAGAGGGGGAATCCAGGGCAGGGGCGGATACTGCGACGCAGACACAGGACAACCGCGGGCGGGAGGAGCACAATCATCGCCTCGAGCAGGAGCCCGTGGGTACGCAGATGCGTGCAGTGCAGGTGCAGCAAGGGGCGCGGCCGGGACCTGCGCATTCACAGGAGCAGGCGCGGGCGCAGACGGGGCAAGAGCCGGGGAGCTACCAAGATCCGGCGCGCCATTCAGGACGTTGCGCATCGCCGCGGCAAGCATCCCCGGGAAATCCTCCCAGAGCTGCTGCATCTCGCTCGGCCCATCGCGCCCGCGACCGTGACCTCCCCACCAGCCACCGCGACCTCCGCGGTGCGCCGAACGGTATGACGACGAGGGGCGACGCCGAGGAGAACCTTGCCCCCGATGCGCTGCCGCATTGCCCCCAACGGGAGCGCGTATCTGGGACTCCGCGAGCCGCTGCGCGACGGGATTCACCGGCGCAGCCGAAGGGGCAACCAAGTGGGCAGAATCGGGGCCGGCGACCACCGCTGTCCCCAGCACAGGGCCTCCAGAGACAGCTAGGGCGGGCGGCTGCGCCACGAGCGACGGCGACGCAACGGGAACCGGCGCGCCGGACACCGGAACTTTGTGCGGAAGACTTGGCGGGGGAGTCAGTGACAGCGGGACGGGAACCACGGATGGCGCAACAACAACAGGGGGAGCCGGGGGGAGCAGGGGAGGAGCAGCTACAGCAACCGCGGCAGCTGGGGCCGGAGGCGGAGCAATCGAACTCTCAGCGGTGTGTCCCTGGTCCACCGCTGACTTCTCCGCTTCAGTCGCCATTACGGCGAACACGTCGACAGCAGGCGATCGAGAATGCAAGGTCGCGCCAGAGCGCGGGCGCAGGGAGTAGAGGGAGTCCACTACTGGCCTAGGCCAATCCGCGGATGCGCGGAGGCCGTGCCGGGGGTCGCGGGCGGGGAAGGAGTACGCGAGAGGGCGGACCGGAGAACGCGTTCCAGGCAGCGGCGCGTAGGGCTTTAACTGGGTTGGGAAGAGCTAATGAAGCAGATGCACTGTCGGGGAGTATTTATGAGGCGGAGGAAGAGGTAGCAGACTCAGGATCGAATGCCTCGGAAGGGGCCCAGTCACTGACCCCTGCACGGAAGAGAGGCAACCCAACCCACGCTCGAAGCGCGACGACAAATTTCAATCACGCTCGAACCCAGCCGCGACCATCCCCACAAATTCGAACCGCTCCCAACAACATTGACACCACTGCCAACCGGCCCACCCACAGAACCCCGCCACCAACACCTGCAATTGCTCCGCGAACCGCAGTGAGGGTAACCAACACCAGTCACAACCCCTCCCCCAAAAATCGCCGGAGGCTCTCGCCAAGGATGACATACTTTTCGCGAGTGTCAGTGATTGGAACCTAGACAAGCTGCGCGACAGTCGCAACTCACCTCTGGCTCGTCGACTCCCGGAAAAGCTGCGCCTGCTTTTCGCAATGGTTTTGCTGACACCATTGCTGCGACTTGCCGACGACCCTGACTCCACCCAAGCCTGGACGGTCTTGCTGTTTGCCGCTCGCCTGACATTGCGTCAACAGTCGCCGAGGCACCCTGATTGGAAGGCGACCAGAGACAGATTGCGTAAATTCCTGCGAGGGGAATGGGAATCACTTTACCTGGAAACAGTGGATTCGCTGGAGATGCCCCCACCCCCCAGGCACCAACCAGATGACCTGGGAGTCATCTCCAGGGCAGAAGGCCTGGCGCGACGAGGCAGTCTGCGAAGGGCGGTCATGGCACTCGAGGCCACTCCAGTCAGCACGCCGACCCCAGAAGTTCTGGAATCCCTTCGCGCCAAACACCCGCGTGCCCAGCATCCTGACGCACCGTGGCCCCAACCAGAGCCAGACACTTACTTGGCAGTGTCGCGGGAAGTCTTCCTGAAATTACTCACGAAATGTGAGAACGGAGTGGGGGCAGGCCCCTCAGGCACGACATTCGAGCACCTGCGCGAGGCTTCCCTGATGCACTCTGCAGTCTGTTCACACTTACATGCGCTTGTCAACACGATCCTTCGCGGGAAGCTGCGCTCGGAGGTTGGGGGACTTCTAACTGCATCCCGGCTGATAGCCCTAGACAAGCCCGACGAGGGAACCAGGCCAATCGCAATAGGCGAATGCATCCTCCGTCTAGCAGCCAAAGCAGCACTTACCCAGCTAGCAGAGGCGGCCAGAGAGTTCTTCTTACCTTTACAGTTTGGTGTAGCTGTGCCGGGAGGAGCCAAAGCAGTGATTCACATAGTTAGAACATTTACCTCGGCAAATCAGGAAGCGCTAGTCTTGCAAGCGGATTTAGCTAACGCTTTCAACAGCGTTGATCGCCTCGCCATAGTGACAGCAATAAAAGGGTCGCAGCTGGAATCACTACTACCTCTGGTGAATTTCTCTTACGGTCAACCGTCCACGCTGCACCTAGACGCAGCGTTCAACCACGCACCTTTGCGCAGCGAGACTGGAGTCCGCCAAGGAGACCCCCTCGGCCCCCTCCTTTTTGCCGCTGCCATGCATCCAGCTCTGAAGGCCGTCGCGGAGGCACATCCAGATGTCATCTGCCTGGCCTACGCAGATGACGTGACCTTCTTGGGCGACCCGCCGTCGTGCACGGCCGCCTTCGATCACTTCACGAGCCTCCTCGCGGAGGTTGGGCTGATGCACAACCCCGCCAAGTGCGGAGCATGGTCCAATGGGTCAACCACGGACGTCTCCCTGCCCGATGGAGTTCCACTCAGCAGCGACGGGCTGAAAGTGCTAGGCAGTTACATCGGCACCCCAGGGGCTACCTCCGCGTTCGTGCGCTCCAGTTTGGAGGCAATGGGCACGCCGCTAGGATTGATCGAGCGGATGGAGCCGCAGCTGGCGGGACTGCTGCTGTCTCGGTGCGTTTCGCGCCGTGTATCCTATATGGCCCGCACGACCCCCCTCCCGTCCCTGCCCAAGGAGGAGTGGTCCGAATGGGGGAGGCAGATGCTGGAAACTTTGCTCACAGCGTGTGGCATCATACACCCGCGAGGGACCGAGGAAACCGCGCGCACTTGGGCGCAGGCCTCGCTCCCTGTATCGCTTGGTGGCCTTGGGCTCACAGATCCGTCCGTGGAGGGAAGCTACAGCTTCCTCGCCAGCTACACGCAGGCTCACCTTCTCCTTGACTCCCTCGAGGGCGACTGCAATGGCCCTCTGGAGGTCATCCGCGAGCAGATGCGCGGCCCCTACACTCAGTCATCTCCTTTGACCGAGTGGTTGGCGGAGTGCGAGGGGGAGCTTCCACTGCCGGCGCAAGAAGCACTGCAAGCGGAGAGGACAGCCCCTACCGCGGGAAAGCTGCAGCACGGGTTAGCCACGGCTATCCAAGGCCAGCGCTACGCAGTTCAGGTGGAGGAGGTGCGGGGGATGAGCCCGAACCCATACAGTGGGCACACACAACGGCTGCTGTCCCAGTCGGGGTACGGGGCGGGGGATTGGTTGAACGCGGTGCCGCTGCACCGCGCGCTACACCTCGAGGCTCCGCACTACGCCAACGCAGTCCAGTTTCGGCTGGGGCTCCCCTTTGCGGCCCCCGGGGTCTGCAATTGCTCGAAGCAGGTAGAAATCCCTGACAAGCGTCTCCCGAACCACCTGCTTCGGTGCGGGACAGGGGGGGGGCGCACAAACACCCACAACGAACTCAGAGATGAGTGTGCGCGAATGGCGCGCGACGTGGGCTTCATGGTGCACATTGAAACGGCCGCCTTCAGCCCAGTGGAGGAGAAGAAGGCGGACCTTGCCCTCCGCTGCCGCTCAACAGGAGCCGTCTACATCTGTGATGTGACGGTGACGGACCCCATCAGCACTCGTGATGAGAATGCAACTAAGGGGCGGGGGTGGGCGGCTCGGGAAGCAGCAGATAAAAAGCACGGCCTCTACAGGGACCGCCCCGAGTGGGTGAAGTTTTTCCCGCTCGCGGTCGAAACTTATGGGTGCCCATGCCCCGAGACTGTGGATTTCCTGAAGCTGCTCGCAGAGACAGCTGCAAGGCGGTTCTTTAACGCCGAGCCAACCTCCTACCAAGCTGCCAAGCTCTTACACCACTTTCGGCAGCGGTGGTCGGTGGCTCTTCAAAGGGGGCAGTCTATCGGTTATTTGGAAAAATGCAGCATAGCGGCTGCAGTAGAAAATCCACTGCTCGAGGCAGTGGGGGAGGCTCCGTCCCTAGGGGATTGCCTCACGGTCCTTGAGCCCGTACTGGACCTAGCTTAGAAAGGGGGGGGGGTTGTATGTTAAGGGAGTCGTAAGGTCTTTCGCACCATACTGACAATAGCTACCTCCTTGCATGCCTGTAAGTCCTATATTTGTGTATTAATGAAAGGGCCGTTCGAGAGAGAGACTACATGGTGGCCTGCTTGCTAGTTAACTCTCTGCTGCTGGGTGGTTGCCTCGTCCGCCTGATACTGTGCTGTCCCTGCAGGAATATCAGTCTGGAAGCTGGTAGTAGACCCTCTTGCATGCCTAGAACCATCTAGCACCTGCCCTTACTATGCTTGTATACTTATAAACCCATCAATGAAAGACTGCTTGAGAGAGAGAGAGAGAGAGACTCGAGAGGACTTAGCCTCTGCTGCAAGCCTCTCTAGCCTCCCAAGCCTCTCTAGTCCTAGTATAAAGCCTTAGAGGCTCTGTTTCAGCCTTCATTATTCAGTTCTTTGGTCGGTTTCTCTCTTAAACCCTCGCCTTCGGCCGCGCGCTACTGGTGGCAAGACAGCAAACGAAGGGTCGGCTTACAAAAAAGCACACACACAATTCAAGCAAGGGAGAAGGGCAACAACAAGAGTAGAAGGCATGCAGTACTACACGCGGCGGAAGCCTACATCGTGTACGGCTCCGCCCCCTCCATCTCAAGCATCGAGCGCATGCACGCCGACACCGCGAGGAGGAGCTGCGCCGACGAGTGAAGGGTCTCCTCCGGCGTCCCAACACGAGCAGCCGCAACAAGATCCTCCACGTGGCGGGGGAAGGAAGGTACGCGCTAAGGGCGCTTCCGACACGGGCTCCAAAGGCTGGATGAGAGATTCTGCCCAAGACGTGCAGGATCCTTGGGACCCTGGAGCGTAACTGCCCGAAGAGTTACGCATGGCCCCACACACCGCCATCTGCAAGCTCGCCACCCCCTCGCACGCCTCCGCCAGATTCAACATCCGGCACCAGGTCAGCATGGGATCTCTCCCCACGCGAGTGGGGGGAGGTGCAATCTGATCTTCGCGCGGGAACGCCGCCGGCCGGCCCAGGGCTCGGCCAAATGAGAACTGCTGAGTGTGGAAGCCCGGGGCCTGCCAAGCGGTGCGGAACGGGGCCCTCGCCTCCCGCGCGGACTGATACTCGCGCAAGGATGGCGCGCGTAGTAGAGCCGCCAGGCCAGAGTCCGAGGCGAGGGGAGGGCCATTGGTTACGGCAATATGCACGTGCGTCCGCTCCCCGCTCGCCCGCGCCTGACGCACCGCCGCCGCCATCACATTCACGGCCTGATCTACGGCTGGATCACGACGGGGACTATTCCAGCCACGTCCTGAACCATTCCGCCGACCTCGGCGGCCGCCAGAACCAGCCGAATGTGGACGCGGCGGGGATTGTTCGCGACGCCCAGATTCCCAGCGACGCCCAGGCGATCCCCTGCCCCGCCTCGCCGAAGATCGCCGCAGAGAGCGCTGAGCGGGGGATCGCGCTCGCGGTGACCGCGGGGCTGCTCGACCACGGGGGGATGGGCGCCGAGGAGAGCGGGGACGCGCAGGGGACCGCTGATCGCCCTCCCTGCGTTGACGAGGGTCACGATGCTCAGGAGAAGGGCGGCGAGGAAAGGGCTGCCGAGGAGGTTGATGTGGAGTCGAGCGCCCGCGCTCCTGACGCGGCTAACCGTCAGGGCGGTTCGACGCAACACGCGCGGGGGCCCACGAATACTCCGGCGAGGTGGGCCGCGCGGCAGGCTGAAGAGGAAGAGTTAGCCCACGCTCGAAGCGGCGGACGAGCTCGCTTGCGGAGGGGCGCGCAGAGACACGCGGACGAAACCCGGCAGGCGCAGGCTCCGGCTGCGTGCGCGCTCTCCGCAGAACCCTAAGCCCGCGACTTCAGGAGGCTCATCGCCAAGCTCCCCAATGGAGTAGGGGCTGGCCCCTCAGGAACCACCTTCGAACACATCCGCGATGCAGCCCTAGGAAACGCCGAAGTATTCACCCACCTCCTAGCCCTCTCCAACACGGCTCTAGCAGGGAAACTACCTGCCGTCGCGGGGGAGCTCCTTGCCGCCTCCCGCCTGTTAGCCTTTACGAAACCACACGGAGGGACGAGGCCAATCGCGGTTGGAGAGTGTCTCCTTCGGGTCATCGCCAAAGCTGCACTCTTCCTGATCGCGCCGGCCGCTAGATCTCACTTTGCCCCCCTTCAGTTCGGCGTGGCAGTAGTGGGGGGGATTGAAGCGGCTATCCACACGGCGCGTACATACCTGGAGGTCCATCCCGAAGCAGTAGCGCTGCAAATTGACCTCGCGAACGCGTTCAACGCGGTCGAGAGGAGGGCGGTGTTCGAGGGACTCAGAAACGAGGCGCTAGAAGATCTGATCCCCCTCGTCCGCCTCTCCTATGGGGCCCCCTCCTTACTTTACCTCGACCATGACTTCGGCGCAGCCCCACTGCAGAGCGCTAGAGGAGTCCGCCAAGAAGACCCGCTCGGTCCCCTCCTGTTCGTGGCAAGCATCCACCCTTACCTCGCTGCCACCGCAGCTGCACACCCACAGGTGGTCCTGCTGGCGTACGCCGATGACATCACGCTGCTCGGTGACGCATCGGCCTGCACGGCAGCATTTGACCACCTCACATCCGCGCTGGCCGCCCTCGGCCTAGTACACAACCCGGCCAAGTGCGCGGCGTGGTCTGCTGCTGCAATAGACCCCCCATCCGTACCCCCAGGCATCACTATTTCTGATGAGGGGGTGCAGATTCTCGGCAGCCCCATCGGCACGCCCCAGGGCTGCGCCAGCGCGGTGAGGGAGAGACTAGCAACAGCAGCAGCACCGCTCCCCCTACTGGCCCAAATGGATCCCCAGCTTAGCCTCCTCCTCCTCACCCGCTGTGTCAGCCGCCGTGCCTCCTTTTTGGCCAGAATTACCCCTCTGGAGGCGCTACCTGTAGCAGAATGGTCTGCTTGGGGGGAGCAGCTTCTACTAACCTTCTTAGACTCGGCCCACATCGTGACCCCGAAGAGTGCCACGGAGAGACGAAGGATTTGGCGGCAGGCGGCCCTGCCGGTGACGCTGGGAGGTATCACTGACATCACTGACCCCGCCATTGAAGGCAGCTATGCCTACCTCGCCTCGGTGATCAGCGCCACACACCTCCTGCACTCCCTGGAGGACTCACTGCACCCTGCTGTTGCCGCGCTCCTCCCCTTACTGGACCCGACCCACGGCTCTCCGCACGCTCTGCCAGCTCGCCTCGCCGCTGCGGAGGCAGCTCTCCCCCCAGAGGCGCTAGAAGTGCTACAGGCCGGGAAGGCGGACCCGAAGGGACTGAAGCTGCAGCAGAGCCTGGAACTGGCGGTTCACTCCCGCTGCTTCCTGAGGGTTATGCGCGAGGCGAGGCGGATGCGCCCCAACCCCCTTTCTGGCCACGCGCAACGGATGCAGTCGGTGCTTGGCCCAGGCGCGGGGGACTGGCTGCTGGCAATCCCCCTCATCCCCTCGCTTCGGATGGGCCCATCCCAGCTCTCAACCGCAACTGCCTTCCGCCTAGGCCTCCCCCTCCCCGTGCCTAGACGCTGTGACTGCCGTTACCGTACCACCTTCCCCGATGACCGCCTCCCCAACCACCTCATGCGCTGCGAGAAGGGGAAAGGGAGGACTGCTACCCACCACGCTCTGCGGGATGAGATAGCAAACATAGGGGCGGAAGCGGGCTTTACGCTACACAAAGAGACGTATGTCTACTCTCTGGTTGAAAATCTAAAGGCGGATGTCACCATCCGTCATCCCCTGACTGGAGAGGTGTGGACGTGCGACGTGACCGTGACGGACCCGGCATCTTACCAGGACGAGAACTGCAACCGAGCTCCTGGATGGGCGGCTAGGGCGGCAGCAGCTAAAAAGGAGGAGAAGTACGCCCGCAGGAACGCGTGGGTGGGGTTCCACGCGCTTGCAGTGGAGACTTATGGCTACCCCTCGCCAGGGGTGATGGCTTACCTACGGCAATGCGCGGAGCTGGCGGCAAAGCTGCGTTTTAACGCAGCACCTACCTCCTACGAAGCAGCTAAGCTGCTGACGGAGTACCGCCAGCGCTGGAGCGTGTGCCTCCAGCGGGCGCAGGCCAATGCCCTCCGCACCAAGACCAACGAGGCCTTGGCGGCGGACGAGCTTGGCTTTCGGGGACCCATCATCCCTCTTAGTGAGGGACAACTGCACCAGCTGATTGAGCCCCCGTTCGACCAGTAGGGTCGGACAGAGGAGGGGGGGGCGGGTGTGAGGTAGATAGGATACCGGTTGGCGTGTCTGTTTAGCTTGTGTGCTTGCATCTTCCTTTGTACCACACCATAAGTAATGCAAGGACCATTCGAGTGTGGTGCAAAGAGCCTATTGTGAGTACTTGATCTCCTGATCTCGTTCCTCAGCTCGACACTTGAGGCGGCGGCTGACAGGATGCAACGGCAACCATAACTTCCAATGCATGGAAACGAACACAAGTATCATGACAGCAACAGCATGTGTGGCAAGCAGGAAGCCTTTTGTAGTGCCATAACAACAGTCTGTCCCTGGATAAGGGGCGTCATGGCAACACATCATGCGCTCCCCACCAGTCTCTTCAAGCAGGCCCCCCCTGTGAAGGAGGCGGGGTGCTGCCATGCACCCATCCACGTGGTGCAGTGGCGCAAGTAAACGTGGTGAAGCACCACACGCACCTGCTCTTGCAATGGCAGCCGCCCTTCAATGCACTCATGATGCGCACCCCAACCACTTCTGTAGGTGTGCCACAGCGAACCAGCATGCACACGTGTGTGAGTGTTCCACCCCACACACACACACGCCATGGCCAAGCACGAGGTGAGTCTCCCCACGCGTGCTGACGCACCTTGCATTGACAGCACGTGGCTCTACACACACACACACATGTGCCACATGCACAGCACCACCTCACTCTGCACATTCATGACCTCTCGCACCTCCCTCCCAGTCGCCACAGTCAAGCCACCTGCCAGCACAAGCTTCCCAAGCCATGTCACATGGACGGACAAGGAAGCAGCGACTGTGTGGTTGTGCTGACAGGGGGCCAGTTGGCACCTGCTGCTGCTGTGCCTCGCACCTCCACCGTGTGCTCCACACGGCCTCCGCCCCGCAGTTAGCATCACCACACACAAGGCCCCGTAGCTTGTCAGTGAGATTTTCCACATCTCCTTGCCAGATGGCCCAGTGTGGGAGCACGAGGCTTTCAGAAACGACCTGCGTACCTCAGACACAACAGCGCTGTCCCGCATAGCTGCTGAGGCTGTTTGCGTCCGTGGGGGCTGCTCCAGCACCACACTGCTCTGCCTCTCCCTGCATTCTTCACCCGCTACCCACCCACACCGCACCTCCTAGCGAACCTTGCTCCACGCCCATGCACCACCTCACCCACCCGCACCCCAGGCAACAAGTGGCCTCAGGTGGTGAGGGGGAGGCTGTTGGTGGTAGCTTACGTATGGGTGGAGGAGCAGAGGGCCGGGCGCAGAAGAGCAGTCCAGTACAGGCACGGACACACTAGTGTGCATGTGGTGGTGGGCGCACGGCCACGCTCACACACTCCCATGCACCAGGGCGTCCGGCAGGGACGGCAAGAGGCCTAAGAGCCCTGCAACTGCTGGGCCCACCCCAAGAGATCCAGTGCAGGAGGGCGGTGCGGTGGCCAGCATTCGGCACAGCACGCCCCTGTCCCCCTCATCCCCTCGTCCCTGGTTCACCAACGCCCCCAACGCATCTGTCATGTGCAGCACCACACGCCCAGCAGCTGCTGCGCACAGCAGCACCATCGTGCCGCCCCAATGAAGCTGCTGCCCCCAGCACATGGGCAGACTTGGGCCACTAGCAGCGGTATGACGTGGAGTGCGGGGCGGGGGAGGCAATACAAGAGAGGGCGCAGCGGAGAGGATGCAGCGCGCAGTGCAAAGAGTAGTGGAATTGTTGGCCTTGCCGCACTGCTGCGACCTCCCAACCCTTTGCTCTCTCTGCTGATGCGCGTAAGAGGCCATTGCGATGCGAGCAGGTGTGACAGCACGGAGGCACTTGCGCCACAGGTGCTCTGCTCCGCCATGCTGCAAGCTTGTGCACAGGCAGCAACACGCGCACGCACTGCAGGCGCCGCGCGCGCGCTGCTTGGCCCACGCTTCCAGCCCAGTTTCGCACTGCCCCGCCCCGTCCCGACCCAAGCAGCGGCAGCCATGCAGCAGCAGCCGCGCGCAGAGTCGCATGCCGAGCAACAGCCGCGCGCACAGTAGCATGCCCAGCAACAGCCGCGCGCACAGCTGCCTACGGCCCTGCAACTCCCCGTTCTAAAGCCCCCTCCCCAGCTGAGCCCACGCCAAGCAGCTGAGCACCCCTCGCCAAGCTTGTGCTGCCCCTGCTGCTCCTCACCCCGCACGCACTCACCCCCTGCTCACCCCCACACCACAGCACGCTCACGGTGAAGCCCACAGCGCAGCTCAGTGCAGTGCAGTGCAGTGCAGTGCAGTGCGCATAGCGGCAAGGTGGATCCCAGCATGGGCGCCTTTGTGATGCAAATGTGTCAATGCTGCACGAACAGGTGGGATGCTGGAGGGAGCATGGCTGCACACACGTTGCTGGCTTCCCGTCCTGCTTACTAGTCAATACATGGACAGGTCGAGCAAGGAAGGAAGAACCTCACCGCTGTGCGTTGCTGGTTCAGTCCCCCATTCACTTCCACCATCAGGTATCGCACCCCACCACTCCCAGCTGCACCGCCTGCCGTGTTGCCAGGTTTCATTTGCGGGGGCATGGCGTGGCGTGGCCCGTCATCCGCCATCATCCCTGCCGCACTGCGCATACTCGCTGCATCCCCCACGCCCCCACACCGCTCCCACTCCCCCCCCTGCTGCTGCTGCTGCTGGTGGTGGTGGTGATGACACGGGGGGAAGGAGCAAACGGGGAGCAAGAGAAAGTGGGAGAGTAAAGGAGAGAAAGGAGTGAAGGAAGCGGAAAGGGCGCAGGGCGGAGCAGAGCAATGCAGAGGGCAGTCGAAAGATCAGAAGCATCACCAGCAACCCCTCCCTCCTCTGCCACGCACCCCTTCCTTGCTCCTCCGGACCTCTGCGTCCTTCTTTCGTTCCCCATCCGCTTCCTGTTCCCTATCCCCCGCTCTCCCCGTTACCCCCCCTGTGCCCGCGCCCATCAGGTCCCCCCGCCACTGCTGGTACAGCCGCCATGCCCCGTCCTCCTCCAGGCCCTCCGCCTCCTCCCGCTCCGCACGCTTTCCGCGAAAATCTCGCGGGAGAGAATTACGTTTTAGAACGCTGCGGGGAAGGAAATTCCGCGGAAGGGGGTTTGCTGAAAGCGCGTGGCGGGGGATGGGAGGCAGGCGGGGCAGGAGGAGCGCGAGGCCGAGAAGCTGGAGGACGAGCGCGCCCAGCAGCAGGCAGCGCCGCGAGGGGAGCGGCGCGCACACGAGTCGCGCGCAGAGCGACGGGCTGGGCGCCGTGCGGCGGCTGTCCGAAATGCGCATGTCCGAGGCGGTCTGCAACGCGCACGCCCTCTGGTGATGTGATGTGCGCCGTGCTACCGCGTGCTGCTAACAGCGCAAGGTGGCCTGGGACGCCATGTGGTGCCCTCTTCTGCAGCTGCCTGCCGTGTCGTTTCCCATCAGTTGTGGAACTGGAGCGTGATCTCGACAAATTCGTGAGTGCACCGGTGAGAATGACTGACTGAAGCTCGATCACTCAAGGATTCCACTACTGTGGAGGAAATTTCATGAACAATATTTGAGAGAAGTAAGAAGGGCGTGTAAAATCGGGAACTCCAAAAATTCGGCCACAATCCGTCGGGCCATTTTTGCAAATGTAACCAGTCAACGACATGTGGCAACAGTCGAAAATTATGCAAAGAAGAACGAATTTGAGCATTGTAGCGACCAAATGAGGAGGTAACCATTTTGGCGGTTCTAACGATTGAGAACCATTTGAGGTAACTCCAAGGCTGTCTTTATTGTCAAATCAGGGCGTGTAACTATTTTGCATTTGACTGCAGTTATGTTTCTTAGCTAACGTTCGACAAACGGACGGTTTCGTTACCCTAATGGAGCCGTCCATTGTAAACGATAAACGAACCGTACTGTATAACTGTTTTTCCAGTTGTGAATTTCCGCAAAAGCACGTGTCACGTTACGAAGGGTGGCAGGTTTCGAGCGTTTCGCATTAGGAAGGCAGCGGGATTCATAATTATTGTTACGGATAGTAATAGATGAAGTGTTACTGTGCACTCCTGACAGTAGCAATCGAAGCATACAGTACTGAGGTTGAAGACGAAAGGACGCGAAGAGTTGTACGGTTACATAGCATCTGGACCGTCAGGGCAGACAGCATCAGGCAAGCAGCAGTGGTGGGGATTCATCCCGAGCAGTTCGTAACCGTCTGGAGTCGCACGGTTGGATTTCGCTGCAATAAGAAAATGTACCCCGTAGAGTACATGGCTAGTCTAGGTCGTTTCGTATTCCCCTGTACTCATATATATATATATGTATATATATACATATGTTTGTATTTGCATGTTCAATTCATCTCGATCAGTATACATCCACTCTGAATTGAGGTCAAGGTGTCAAATTATATATGCATGTTTAGGTTATCTAGGCTGCATGGGGGTTAGCACTAGGGGGTATAGAAACTTCCTCGACACTCTAGTCTTGTACCCCAACCTTGACCTAATCTAATCATTCCCTTGACTTAGTCTTAACATGGTAACTAGAGCAGGAGGTCTCTAGGACCTAAGAATCGGGCCCACCTAAGTGTGTTACCACCTGCCTGCCTTGCCTACTGCCCGTGCGCGCCTCGATTGCAGCGCGCGTCACGTTTTTTTTTTTTTTTTTTTTTTTTTTCGCGCGCGCGTCACTGTTTTTAGCGCGCGCCACTGCTGCAGAGCCGCGCGCCGGCCCGCGTCGCCCGCGCAGCCCGCGTAGAGCCCGTGCGCCCCTTACGCCGCCCGCGCGCAGCCTGCTTAGGCCCGTCGCCGCACGCAGCCTGCTTAGGCCCGTCGCCGCACGCAGCCCGCAGCCGCGCGCGCTGTCTGTCGCCACGTGCAGCCAGGAGCCGCGCGCAGCAGAGAGCCGCACGCAGCCCTCAGCCGCGCCTGGGGGTGCTGAGTCTGGGGGTGAGTAGCCTGAGGGTTCTGAGACTGCTATTCCGCGGTCTCCTTGGAGTAGCCGTCTTCGTCCGCGTATGCCTCTCACCTCCCAGCAGCTGCACGACTGGTACGGTCGCCGTCAACGTCGCGCTTCTGCACCTCATGGCTCTACTGCTAGGGGTTCTTCTGCTGGCGTCACTTGAGATGGGAGTGGTGCTGGTCCTTTGCCTGCTGGAGGTGCTGGTGTCGCTGGTCCCGGAGGTGCTCGTACTGGGGCTACTGGAGCTGCTGGGGCTAGCGGTGGTGTGTCTGAGGGTACTGCTGCTGGTGGCACTGCGGTTGGAGACCCTGGGACTGGGGGTGCTGCACCAGGAGGGACTGGAGCTGCTGAGGGTGCTGGAGCTGCTGGAGGTACTGGAGCTGCTGAGGGTACTGGACCTGCTGGAGGTGCTTGAGCTGCTGAGGGTGCTGGAGTTGCTGGAGGTGCAGGAGCTGCTGAGGGTTCTGGAGCTACTGGTGCTGGTGGCATTGCACAGCCGCGCGTGTTCTTTGCTCCGCCTTCTCCGTCGTCTCTGCCACCGCCTGACTCCGTGCTTCGCTAGGTTCTTAGCCTCCCATCATCTACTGGTCTTACGTTACAGCCTGGCTCACCTCTGCCTGCTCCTTCTTACGCTGAGCACACAGGGGGCCTTACTGAGCGTCGTAAGCCTCCACGCGTCCTGTCTCACCTGTCCGTTCTGGTCGTTCCAGTCGTCGTGTTCCTCGTCAGCGTCAGCCGGCTGTCCCCGGCCCTTCCCTTGTAGTCCGTCGTCCTTCCTCTCCTCAGCAGAGTGTTCCTCTGCCGTCTCCTCCTGCGTCTTCTCTGCATGTCATTGCGGACCCTGAGTCTAACTAGTTTCGTACTGAGCACCCTACTGTCACGCGTCTGCTAGCCACTGTTGTCACTGACCCGTCGTTTGAGTCCACTGCTGCGTCTGCCCTAGTCGCTGAGCTAGTCGACTTTTCTGCTGCCTGTCGTCTAGACTACGCTGCTAGTCTTGTTGCTGAGTCTGAGTCTGTCTGTCCTCCGTCCGTCGAGGGTGAGTGTGCTCTTATCATGGACGTCCTTGAGGACAGGCACGAGGACCTTGAGTGTCTTGCGGCCGCTGCGCCTCATCTCGTGGCCATGCTGCTTGCCCCTGAGGGAGACCCGGATGCACCAGACATCCCCACCCCACGCTCTTACGCTGAGGCGATCGCGGGTGAGTACTCCTCTCAGTGGCAGACAGCCATGGATGCAGAGATGGCATCCTGGAAGTCCACAGGCACGTACTTCAACGAGGTTCCCCCTCCTGGGGCGAACATCGTCACTGGCATGTGGATCTTCAGGGTGAAGCGGCCGCGAGGTTCTCCACCTGTCTTCAAGGCGCGTTACGTTGCACGAGGTTTCAGTCAGCGAGAGGGAGTTGACTTCTTCCAGACCTTCTCCCCCACCCCAAAGATGACCACTCTTTGGGTACTGCTGCACGTTGCCGCTCAGCGTGACTACGAGCTTCACTCTCTTGACTTCAGCACAGCCTTCTTACAGGGCAGTCTGCACAAGGAGATCTGGCTGCGCGCCCACCTTGCTTCACTGGGTCGTTCCCTCTTGGCACCCAGTGGAGCTTGAGGCGGCCGGTCTACGGTCTCCGCCAGGCGCCACGTGAGTGGCACGACACACTTAGGACGACACTTGCGGCTCTTGGGTTTGCTCCGTCGACTGCTGACCCGTCGCTGTTTCTGCGCACCGACACTTCGCTGCCGCCGTTCTACATTCTCGTGTACGTTGACGACTTGGTCTTTGCCACTGCTGACACTGAGGCTCTCGCCTTGGTGAAGTCGGAGTTGCAGAAGAGACACACGTGCACAGACCTGGGTTAGCTGACAAGCTATCTTGGCTTGCGGATCACGTGGGACAGAGCACGCCGCACCATCACACTGACTCAGTCACACATGGTGCAGCAGGTCCTTCAGCGCTTCGGCTTCACCTGGTCCTCGGCACAGCCCACTCCTCTGGCTATAGGTCACTTGCTCTCAGCTCCACCTTCAGACGAGTCCGTAGAGCCGAGTGGTCTTTACCCAGAGCTAGTGGGCTGCCTCATGTACCTGATGACCTGCACTCGTCCTGACCTTGCGTACCCTCTTGGCCTTCGGGCTCGCTACGTGGCTCCTGGTCGGCACCGAAAGGTGCACATGGATGTTGCTAAGAGTGTAATGCGCTACTTGTGCAGTACATCGGGCATGGGGCTCGTGCTTGGAGGACGGAGCGCAGTTGTCCTCACTGGGCACTCAGACGCGTCTTGGGTTGACGACCAGGCTACGCAGCGGTCGTCACAGGGCTACACCTTCAGCCTTGGCTCTAGTTCGGTTTCTTGGCGTTCTACACGCTCGTCTTCAGTTCTCAGCTCCATTTGTGAGGCTGAGATCTACGCCACAGCCATGGTTGCACAGGAGTTACGCTGGCTCACCTACCTGCTGACCGACTTGGGAGAGAGGCCTCGTTCTCCTCAAGTGCTGTACGTCGACAACAAGGCCGCCATTGCCTTGTGTCAGGAGCACAGACTGGAGCACAGAACGAAGCACATCGCTCTGCGTTACTTCCTTGCTCGAGAGCTATAGCAGCGTGGTCAGCTTCGTTTTGCTTACGTGGCCACTCGGGCCAACACTGCTGATATATTCACCAAGGCACTTCCGCCTGGTGATCATCAGCGTTTCTGTACTTTGTTAGGCCTTGTGCCTACGTTTCCTCACTTGCTGTAGGCTTTGTTTGTACTGTGATCTATATATATATATACGTGCATGCTTGCTCTGGTAGGTAGAGATCACTGTGCTGATTTTGTTACGTATATACCTCTGCATGTGAACTGGCCTTGTGGCCTTTTTGCTTGTGCTGAGACTGTGTGGTGACGTTGTGATCCACCCTGAGCTGTGTTTTGTTTCTTCACTTGACTGGCCTTGTGACCGTTGCTTGCTCTGGCTATCCCCCATTTCACCTATGGGGGTGTGTCAAATTATATATGCATGTTTAGGTTATCTAGGCTGCATGGGGATTAGCACTAGGGGGTACAGAAACTTCCTCGACACTCTAGTCTTGTACCCCAACCTTGACCTAATCTAATCATTCCCTTGACTTAGTCTTAACACAAGGGCCCACCACTACTGATTAACTGTGTGCGAAACTTCCTAAGGTGATCCTAGGGTCAATCAACTTTTGATCGTAGCATGGTACGAGAGCGACTCGAAAATCCTTCGCATTGCCACCTCCGAAATCTTTGGTGAACGAAAGGTGGTGTCCGGCACACGCTCACGTGTATGAATGGCCGGAGGATCTGGTGGTTAGACGAATCTGACGGCTGAAGCGCAGCCCAA